GCTATTTACATACTGTCTTGTTTACATCAATCCCGTCGTCAGGCTGATGTACAGAAAGACAGCACGACTCTTCTTCCCCTTTCTATCATCTGCTTTTACAAATATCTCCTCACTGTTCCATCATAATTAATGCTATATTTCATTTTAAAAGAATGTAATCACAGTTGAAAAAGTCTGCATCCAAATAAGTGTTTTATCACTGTAGAACGAGGCATATGTGCACAAGCACTCAAAAACAAAATGGAGGTTACTTGGTAATTGGCATTTTTCAGGGTGTGTTGTTCATTTCCACATTTGCTTCCAACCCTGCTTTGTTTTGCCTCTTGGAGTAAGGAGCAGAAAATGGAGGTTGTATGTCACCTTGGAAAGTGATGAGACACAGTGTGCACACACAAAATGTATATGCTTAGCCAAAAATAAGCCATAATACTAATATGATATGTTTATTACAGCTTGATGAATGTTTGTTACATGTAACAACTTTCTCTTTTGTCTTTTACATCTTTGGCCTGAGCTTGGGTTCAACTATAATTGGTGTCTACAGATGATCCCACAGTGTGGTAGTACTCTAGTGCCAGTGGGTCATTAGAAAACTTCAGGAAAATACAATCTTCCACTTCTTTCTTAATTCATTCTTTCTGAAAGAGAGGGAAATAATGGGGGTCACTATTTATATCCTATTATAGGTGATAAATCTTTAGAAACGTAGCAGCTTTTCATAGAAATAACTAGGCAAGGATTCCAAATGCTGAGAGAAGCCATTAAATTCTTGAAGAGATGAACTGCTATTTTGGAGCTATAGATCGCTTAAGCAATTTACCCGCTCATCAGTTTTTCTTGCATTCTTCTTGCAGTAGCCTAGTACAGAAAAAGACAGGAAGAAAAAGGAAAGTGGAGGGGTTTCTAATTATTTTCTTCTTCCTCTGAATAGAATATGGTGAAGAGATTGTGGGATGCACAAAGCCATTGAGTTTTCAGTGACAGCTGTTGCTGTTGGAGAAATGAAAGCACTTGGCCCAAGAGTCTGTTTATATCTTTGAGCAGAGAATGTGATTTTCATTGCAAGGAGCTCTAAGTAAGATAGGCAGAGTCAGAGAATAAGAGAGCAAAAGATAATTATCTAAATTATGTTCAGGCTATTATAGAAGACGAATATAGTTAAAATGTAATTAAATATGACAGGCTCACAGGATGCAAGCACGGCTTTGGAATGCTAATCATCAATTACTGCATCTCCTTAGGGGAGTCAGGCAGAATGAGAAAGTTAGAAGTCAGGTGGCTGAGGTGAGATGTAAAGTGTTAAATAAAACACTGCAGGACAGTAACAAGGCTAATTTCTTTTGGAAAATGGAGCTGTGGTATCAGGAGACCTTTGCTAGGCAAACAACTTATGCTGCATTTCAGCTTGCAGACCATGGTATATAAATCATAAGTAGGCTGCTAATCCTGAGATGTAAACCTTATCTTTAGGTAGTGATTTTTTTCTGTTGTAAAAGTGGTGACCAGGACTGCTACAGATTAAGCAGCAGATCTAAAATGAAGCAACCAGCAGGACACATACAAAAGCAGAAAAAAAGATCAGTGCTTCCTGAATATGTAAAAAAATTAAACCCTGAAAAATCTATTTGTTATAGGGTCACTAAGAATGACTACAGAGATACAGACATTCCGAAGACAACATGTCAGTTAATGGGAGAAGTAAATTCTGATAGTTTCTTTATGACCATGTCCTAGGTAAAGAACTTAAAAGATTCGTTTGCTTGGCATATGGGGAGCAAAGGTGATGAAATGGCATCTATTGCACAGAAGTAGCTAATCCCAGTCCAAAAATGAGGTGCTTTTGATATGTTTTAATGCTGATGTTCCTGGAGTGCAGTGACTTACATATGAATCAATACCAGAGCTATGTATAAAGTTTGAAGGAAATTTTTGTAAAGACCATCAAAAGTGATTTTGAGGATAGAAAGACTAGCTCTTATGAGGAAAATATAAAATAAGCACATATTCACAGCATGACTACACAAATGGCATGACTACAAAATAATTTGCAAAATAAAATTTCTACAGAGAAACTGAGATTATTACAATAATACCAGAAGAGATAACCAGTAGTAAAAGAAGATTAAAAAGAAACTTAAGGCTTACCTATGATGTCTTAAATTGAACTGAGGAGCACCACTGAGCAATTATTACGGCTTGATACATAAATAGAAGTCTTACTGAATTTGTTCTATCAGTGAAAAATGCGAAAAGAAGGCAGATATGCCTTGACAATGTTCTGTCAGTAATCTCTCATCCCATGTGGCTTTAGCTACACTTAATAACTCTTTGCTGTATAATTATATCTGTGCTGGAGAGGTATTCCTTTGTATATATCAATGTTCTCAAATACAGTAAAAATCAGTGCGATGTCCTAGTAAAGGTTTATCTTACTTATTTCAAAAGAGAGTTTTTTTCAAATCCACTTGGCTTGTTTTCTACTTTATTTTTTCCTTTTTGATAAGGAAAGAAACTAAGCAACCTAACTTTCTCATTATCCCATTACGTTCTAATTCTCTAGTGGCAATATTCTTGAATTTTAATAACTTGAATTTTAATAATGCTTCTATAATTTATCTATAATTTTTACTTTTATTTTTCCAATGGTAAAGGAATAAAATGGACACATACCAGAACAACAAATGTTCTTAGGGCCAAATTTATCAAAATCTATTTCCCTTCAAGTCTCAAATACTTAAGATTTTTTTTTTTTTTTCTATTTTATCATGTTTTAATATTAATAAAATATTATTATTAATCCTAACAACAGCACTGTAGCAGAAGGTAAGGACTCTTAATGCAGTGGCAAGTGAAAGAACTTTAAAGCTTCTTGGAGGAGCTGATCTGGATGTGCATTGTCAAAAGGTTATTCAGAGGCCTTTTTCTTAGCCTCTCACTATCTTTCATGATCTTCAGCTGTCTTCCCAGAGAGATGCATTTGTTTCCTTCTTGTCACTTCATACAGTAGACAGTGGCATTTACTATCATTTTTGGAAAATCTGCACTGAACTCTTGCAGTATTTGACCAGTGCTCAGATTTACTATCAACACACACACATTTATATTCCATTCTATGATCCTAAATTCACCTGTGTTCTTGTCACAGAACACAAACTCTACCTTAGAGGTTTGGAAGGCATAGACTGTTCTTAAAAATGTCATTAGTATTCTAAGCTCTTGTATTTAGACTAGCTTTAGAATATTTTTAAAACCTTAAGTAGGGAAATATCTTTTTTATATCATCATTCTCTTTGCCTCTACAGTGCATGCATGTATATGTGAAAGCATATGCATAATGCAAGCCATGACAATTTTTTGTTACAAGAAGTAGTGTTGCAGTAATCTGACTGTCCCAGCCACTCCTCTTTGGGTCTCTTTACAACAAGGTAGCAGGTGATGTTTGTCCATGAAGATTAATTGCCTGGGTGTACTAGAGTAATAGGAGAAGGAAACTCAAGAATTGTTCTCCCATTCCAGGGAAAAAAAAAAAAGAAAAAAAAAAAGTTTAAATCCTAACAATCTTTCAGATCTGAAGAAATTCAATAAAATGGCTCATTCTCATTTTGTATTTTACTTAGAATTTGAAATAACAACCTGAGCTTTAAAATAAAGGGGGCATAGTCACATAAGTATAAATAAACCATGCCATTGGATAGATAACTGCTGTACCTTTGAGGCTTGACACAGACTGCATCTTTCTATTATGATGAGTAGCTAGTTACATCGATCGTTTCACGCAGAAATACTAGTAAACTACCTGAAATTAGGTCTTGATTTGGCTCATAATCTTCTTTAAGCAAATACAACCTGATAGTGGTGATTAAAAGTAATAGTCAACTTAATTAAACCCAGAAATGCTGTTTGTGACAATGAGGTTTTCCTGCTAAGGGAAAATTCAAGTGCCTGACAAATAGTCAGCAACTACACTGTTTGTACCGTCAAGCTTTGGGATAGTCTACTGGTAGCAAGTGGTGTTTTATTCCAGTTTTTCTTCGGCCCGTTATTTCTTATATGAACACTTCTGAAGGTATTCTGAACACATTCAGGAAAACGATCCAATGTTTTTCTTCTGTAGTGAGTTAATCAAGTTAGACTTAACTGCATTTTATTTCTGAAGCCTTCTGTGATAGTTTTGCTGAAAAGTTAAATTCTGTATCTAGCTTTCATGTTTTATGAGTATAAAATAATTTGAATTCTATTATGTTCAAGTACTAATCTAATGTAGTGGAAGACTGGCACCAAACAAGTTCCTATTACTCTTTTTATTTCTTCTGTTTTACTCAGTGTGTTCTGTAAGCACAAAGGTACAGTAGCAGTTGTTGTCCTTTTCCTGCTGTGTATCAGGCTTGAGGTGTTGTACCTCAGCCTGACCCAGAAGAGTGTGAATGAGGAAGGAATATTATACTGGTGACAATCTACCTCTGGTGTTCTCAGTCTAGCCCAAACAATTCTACGGCTCATGGGGGTATGTCTGTTCTCCCCAGTGCCTCTCTGTCAGGATGGGGAAATCCTCACAACCTGAACTGTGAAGAATGCTTTATGTCATTCATATTTTACTGGCAGGACCTTGGCCTAAATGAGGGAAGCTTGGCTCCTCTGGCTCCACTGCTTTACTTAGAGTGGGAGGAGTGTTTTTGAGAGCTTGGGTGGTTTTTTACCCTAGAGCTAGAATTATCTTTAGCCAAGCTCTGATTATTTCTCATTAGTAGTTAACAGATGGATGCATTTACTTTTATTTGTCTAGTATCAGATGTATATTAAAACACATAAGCAGAGTCAGAGCATTGAAAAATAAAAATTAACAAGAAGTGCTGGAAATTCAGGTGATGAAAAATGATTCTCTGTTTGCCCTGTTAAGTAATAATAGCATGTACTGTCACTTGAATGGATTCTCTGTATATTTTACTGCAAGCTGTTGTGACTGTGTTTAGTATTTGTATGTCTTTCTGGATTTTTTGTAGATCCTGGCAAACAATCACTTTCGATAAACAGCCTGCATCTTTTATCAGAATAGTTGGAACTCACAACACAGCTAATGAGGTAAGGAACTTCTAAGAAAACCTTTATTCTTTATGAATATACCAACTACAGTTTTTCATATCTTGGAATGAAATTGATAATGTCTTCTGAAATGTACTTGATTCATTATTTTTTCTCTGGCAGTCTACCAATCTAAGAATGAATACTTTTCTCATTTCACCATTTGTGAACTGTGTTATCATCTTCACAGGGAACCGAAGGGCTGTTGCCAGTCTGGGGAATATTTTGGGGGTTTTACAGACAAAGCACAGTAAAGCGTTTATTGTTTTGATCTTTCCATAGTGCCATCAAACATTCCTAGTGGGTTTCATTTAAAATTAATCCTTAAATTTTGATGAGTGATGAAAATACCATTTTAGTGCACTAGAGAAAGGTCTATAGTCTCTGATTACTTTGTTTTATTAACTTTTTAATTAATAAAACATTTTAAAAAATCATTCTTCATAAGAAAATCTTATTTGCATAAGATTCTTTTATAATTAATTTTAATACCCTGTTAATCAGTTAACAGGGTATTGGCCAAACCAAGAGACTTTTTTCAATTCATATATTTTTCCCTAACTGACCAAGTCTGATATCATCCTGTTTTTTGCTTACTTGTGCTTCTGTCTTTTGTAATTGTTGTATATTGTCTCAGATGAAGTCCAGATATTACAGTTGACTTCAGTGAAACAATTTGCAATATGTGAATTTCAGAATATATGGAAGTCTTTGTGAGATGAGAATGTTACATCACAAGAACGTAAGAGGCACCAAAAGCCGCTGCTCCTGTGCGTATGCGTCTACATCTCCCATGTGTAGTTCAACTCAAAACATTATAGTTTCCACACTTCACAATGAACTTTGGACAGCACTATTACATTTTAGTAATTAGAGTTTCTCAGCTCTAGGAGTCAGGATTTCTGGTCATATTTAGCATAGAGAATCATAGAGTCATTAAGTTGGGAAGGGACCTCAAAGATCATCAAGTTCCACCCCCCCTGCCATGTGCAGGAACCCCTACCACGAGACCAGGTTGCGCAAACCCTCATCCAACCTGGCCTTAAAAACCTCCAGGGATGGGGCATCAACAGCCTCCCTGGGCAACTCATTCTAGTTCCTCACCACCCTTATAGGGCAGAATTTCTTCCTAATATCTAACCTAAATCTCCCCTCTCTCAGTTTAAAACCATTACCCCTTGTCCTAGCACTATCTTCTCTGATGAAAAGCCCCTCCCCAGCTTTCCTGTAGCCCTTCAGGTACTGGAAGGTGCTATAAGGTCTCCCTGGAGCCTTCTCTTCTCTAGGCTGAACAACCCCAACTCTCTCAGCTTGTCTTCATAGCAGAGGTGCTCCAGGCCTTTGGTCATCTTGGTGGCCCTTCTCTGGACCCTCTCCAACAGGTCTATATCTTTCTTGCACTGATGGCCCAGAGCTGTACAGAGTATTCCAGGTGGGGTCTCACCAGAGCAGAGGGGCAGAATCCCCTCCCTGGCCCTGCTGGACACACTTCTTTTGATGCAGCTCAGGATGCAGTTGCTCTCTGGGCTCCAGCACACACTGGCAGCTCATGTCAAGCTTCTTACCTACTACCATCCCCAAGTCCTTCTCCTCAGCCCCTCCCCCAGCCTGTATTTGTGCCTGGGGTTGCACCGACCCAGGTGCAGGACCCTGCACTTGGCCTTGTTGAACTTCATGAGGTTGGCATTGGCTCACCTCTCCAGCCTGTCAAGGTCCCTCTGGATGGCGTCCCTTCCCTCTAGGGTGTCAACCACACCACACAGCTTGGTATCATCAGCAAACTTGGTAAGGATACGCTCAATCTCACTGTCCACATCACCAACAAAGATGTTAAACAGCACTGTTTAACATATGGTTCTTAAGCATTGAATGAATTGTCAAACAGCATTGTTTGTGTCCAATGGCTGCAAATTAGCATATTCATTTTACTGTAATAGTTACAAAACTACTCCCTCCCAATTCTACTAATGCATACTTTTGAACTTTGAAGGACAATCTATACATCCCAAAGGGAAGAGTTGATTTTTAGAATTGAAAAAAATCCCATAACATTTCCCCATGTTGTGAATGATTTTATCTTCTAAACTCTTCTTTTCCTTTGCCATGTTTTTCAAGTTTTGAAAGACAAGATGTTAACAGATTTTTTGACCTGGCATTTGAAAGAGCATGATAGAAGTGTCACTTTTTGTTTTCTTGAGCTTCCAGACATCCTACTTTTATAAAGAAAAGTATTATTTTCCCTCAGTCCTTGCCATCATTTATTTGTCAGACAGGTCACGTGATATTTTGACTGTGTACGTTTTATCTTGTTATTCCTTTTCAGTATTACTGACCTGGAAAGGACACCTAGTTGCTAATGTGAGAGCTTTATCTTACAAATTACTGCACCACTGTATGTGTTCTTGGCCTTCCTGCTGCGTATGTTGGACTTTTCTTAAACTATCCACAAGAAGTATAACACGCCCGTTGATCACAGGATGATGCTGAAGTGTCATCTCTCATGTCTTTTGAAAGAAACACATGCAGGATTGTTTGTTGTAGTAATACTGTTCTGAAATACATAGTTGCAATGAAGCAGATGAGCTTAAATGTACTTCTTTGTCCTCTGCTTCTTTCACAAGCTATATTCTCTAAATGTTGAAGTGGCGGAGTAATAGAAAATAATATTGTAAATTCATAGGCTTGTTGATGTGCCAGATGCTGAGTTGAGCATTAAGGATTTAGTGTGAAAGGATTGGTAAAAACAAAAGTTTTAACTTCAGAAACAGGTACTTCAGACCTTATAGACTAGTATTAGCTAAATTTCAGTGCTATCCATACTGTATTCAAAAGGCATGTGTCACTATGTATGTGAAGTTTTAAATGAGAAACATTATTGGTGTGGGAAACAATAGAAATATGGAATCTTCTGACTTGGAGATCTCCCTCTTGTTGGTTAGACTGTGCTGCTTTTTAAGGAAAACAGTGTCTTAACAAGGTGCACTGAGGAGATAATGTTCTTTTCTGCAAATCCCAATGCTAAGTGCAACTGGAAAAATGGCAGTAGCTGTTACTTGAAAAAAACACGGGAGTGGGATGGGTATAAAAGGGGCTTCTCAAGAAGTGGAGCTGAATGCCAAAATTGGCTTCTCAAGAACTGTAACAGATGGAGAAAATTGGTTCCACTCTAGAAATGAATTCAGCTTTAGAAAAAAACTTGCCATAAGAAATGCAGAGAAAAAGCATTTTGTGCACATGTGTGGGTACAAGTGTAGATTTATAATCTGTTCATATATATATATATAAAAGACATAGTGATGCATCTTTATATGAGCGTGTGTGTATATGTAGAAGTATAAACATGCATCATTATGTATCTGTATAATAACTGGGAATTCTTACACTGAGAGGCACGAGAAAATATAATGAGGATTAAAAAAAAACAGTGACTGAATTTTTTTTTATTCATTTCATGAATGTTGTCAGAATTTGAATTAACTAGCTACCTCCTCAGAAAAGACCCAGGGGCTATTGCAGACATGTCACTGCAGACATCTTGAGCGGGGATGGTCTGAAAGAGTAGCAGGATTTTCAGTTGTACTGAAGAAAAGTTAGAAAATAAAATATTCTGTAGGCTTGTATGAATGTGTATTATACTCATATCTTTTTTATGGTATTTGATTTTGCCCATATTAACTTGAAAGGGTCCTGGAAAGACCAGTTAAGATTATAAGAGTTTAGTTTTGTTTGTGAGAAGAGCTTTAAAGACATGATCTACTTGCAAGAAGAATGACAGAAGAGGTCACAAAAGCATGCCAAAAATTTTTTTCTTTAAAACTACAATGCATGAGAAAACAGCAAATTTTAAATCAATATAAGAAAAGATTTATTTGTTTAGTTTGTGGCAACGCTGTGCATTTTGTAGCAATTAGAAAATCATGTGGAAATAAGTTTTGTAACAATTTTAAGGTGTTTCTCCCTTCTTCTCCCAGGCACTATAAAAATGTAGAGCTAAGAGTAAGTAAAGTAGAAAAGAAATAGGAATAAACGCTTAAACAGACAGTCCTCTGAGATGAAGTCGTGTATAGTGGTCCCAGGTATTGTCTGAAACATCAAGAAACAATCACTGATTGAAATGGAATATTTCATCTGATGAAGCAGCAGCCTCCTTGGACACTGTGAATGCATTCCTACATACTGTGTCTGTAGAGCTACCATTGCTATTACAGCAGAGGGCAATCTTGAAATAGAATCATATTGGTAATCATTTAAATTTCATTTCTAGTGTGTATGAAGATTCAGACTTTTGAGGAAGTAATTAGATCATAAGATACATTTAAGACAATTAATATAATTGTTCTTGTCATCCGATAGCATGTAGTAGATATTTATGCTACTCCTCAAGGAAAAAAGTAATTTACAAATATCTCTATCCACTTTCTGATTTTTAGTGCTGTATTAAAGTTTGGTATAATTTGAAGGCCTTCTCTTGCTCCACTTTTATAACCTTATAATGTTTATGACTTGTCGACAGATGTTTTTGACCTCATGCTGAAATGTTCTAATATGACTTTGGCACTGATATGGCCTGGTTCTTCCATACAGATTTCACCTTACTTTGATTATGCTTTTGCCAGCGTTTAATTGTTTTGCCTTTTCTTCATTCTTTGTTCTCTCCAGGTATTTCACTGTGTGCATTTTGAGTGCCCAGCACAAAACAGTAACCACAAGGATGAGAGTAGTAAGGAAGTGGCAACAACGGACGTGGGGAGTGCTGGACAACAGGTTGTTTCTCGCCCTGTTCGAGCTGCAAGCACTAGTTCCCTGCCTTCCCCTCCTGGATCCACCTCACGTTCACATGCCCACCAACCGTAAAGGAGACTGAAAGGAGACTTTTGCAGCCCCATTGACACTATATGAAGTTATTCAGAACCATCTTTTGCTGGCATCTTTTCTTTCCTTTTCTCTGTGAACAAAGGGGACCATGTCTGAAAGCTGGAAATGCTGAAATAGAAAACACTTTTCCCAAGGACATGAAGAGACTGCTTCCCTCTCCTCAATTTGTTCAAATCAGGCTGATCTCCAAGAGGGGAGAAAATAGGTCTTCAATCTTCATAAACTACCCCATTAACACCCTACCTCTTTAACCAAGGTGAGGAGAACAGACGGAAATAAAAGGCAGAGCTACAGTGAAAATGTAAAATTACTTGAGCAGAATGGAGGGCATATGAAATAAGTATTTGTTTCTTGAAAGCTTCCATTAGCAAAGAAAATGTTTATGGAGCACATCGATCCAGAATATATGTTCTTTTTAAATGTTATTCTTCAATCATATTCCTTTGTAACTAGTAATCTGCCTTCTAATTTTTTTTTACTCTGTATTCCACTTTGCATCAGTTTTGGCTATACCAAATGCTGTGCAGTAGATTAAGGAAGTATCAAACATGTTTACCTGCTGAGAAGCAAATTCCCTGTTCATCAGCAAGGTGACAGGAAAAGCTTTCGTGATACCAACAGACTAATTAATGGATGCTAATTAATGGATGCTATCTTAATCTTGACCTTAGGTGACTTTTCAAAGTATGAAATTGCATTTCTTACACTCAAAAAGGAAATTCCTAAATCAAGCATCTGTCATGAATAAAAAGTTTTTCACTCCTGAAGATTATTATTTTTACCAGTATTTCTAAGAAAAATTGCAACAGATCATCAAAAACAGTTGATTTAGAAAAGTGAAACTTCATCTGGTCACTGAAAAGCAGTTGTTCAGGATACCAAAAAATAAATAAATTTGCAGATACTTAATTTTTTCCAAGACAAAAATATTTTTTCCAGTCTAGAGCTAAAATTCAAAGGTTGTGTGTGCATAAACTTTTTTTCATAAACTTCATATGATGCTTTTCCACTGTACTGTAAAAGATCTGGCTCTTACTTTACAATCACAGAATTGGTTATCCACCTTTGTCTGTCCCGATTACATTGCCTGCTACTTTGCTTTTTCTGAGTGTTTCCACACTGATGATGGTGCAGTCTCTTACTCTCCAGATCTATGTGACTTTTAGAAAGAGCTCTTTGTCTTTCAGTAAGAGATAAAGTGATTTTATATTAAGACAAACGCAGATGTAATTGGCAAAATTGATTAGGAGATTTATTACCCCTCACGAAGTATATTATATTGGAAATGTCAGCTATCCAGTTTTATGAACTTGGTATTTCCTGTGGTGACAAATAGCCTTGTCAGAAGAAAACAAAGCTAGTGTAGAATAAATATGGCTTTTCTTTGCATAACCATAGTGATAAAATGAGTTATATCAACATAGCAAATAGAATGTTAATTTATCACAATACTTAATTTGAAAGAATTTCCCTGTTGGATACTGGTTGTGCCAGAAACAAGAAGAAATATAACAAGTGGTAGCAATGAATCGGTAGAAACTTCAAAGGAGAAAAGCTTCCTTTTTCTTGTTTCAAATAAAATTGATTAGATTTTATCAACAATGTTATAGTATTTTTCATTGCTAAATTGCAGTGGAGTTCTGATATTTGCCTACAGCTCCTTCCCTTCCCACTGCTGCCTTCCGACTTGTGAGTGTCTGTCAGTGCAGATGCATTGTATACAGTTCATAATATGTGCCACAGCTGCCTCAGGCAGCAGGATACTCAGAGACAGGGTACTGCTGGTGCTGGCCAGCACCTAGTCTGGGGTGCTGGTTATCTTATAGCTTAACAACCTTGGAGTATGGAAGAACTGAGACCAGCTACTGGGGACACAGCTCTCTTGTAGAAGTGTAGGTCCAGAAAGTTGTGGGGTTAGTTAAAACCAGAAAACGTTTCTATTCTGGTTATAATCCAGCTGGAGCCACTGAGATACATGAAGCATATCTTGTCTTTGGTAAGTCCTTCCATGTCAGTGGTGGTATTTCTTTGCAGTTTGATCAAACAAGTTAGCTTTTCTCAAGCTGTGGATAAGCAAAGGGCATAACTTCCTAGCTGTTAGTCTTTAGTAGTCACCAATGTAGAGGTTGTTTAAAAATTGTTTTTTAAAGTTTCTGTCAGCTGCTCTGAGTCTAGGCTCTCGGAGAAAGAACAGGATTTTCAGTTTATAATCTTTGATATGCACAGTTAATTTTTATGATATAAATATGTCTTGTAGACTATAAGCCATTGCAAATCTTTTTTATCTTGTCCTGTGACTCACTGCTGAACAGAAATGTCTATTTATTTCCCATGACATTCACTCTCTGCCAATAATCTGAACGAAGAGATCTGAGAGATTCCCAAGCAAAAACTGGCAGTTCTTATAGACCCTCCAGTTCCCTCCTCCAAAAAATCAGTCAAAAAACAGCTTTGCATTGTCCCTTCATACAGATCAATAGAAATTGTTAGTATTAGACTGGTTCTCAGTCACACATGGCCTTTCTCACAGTCTTTATTTTCTAATGTTAGAGTTACTCTTTGAAACTGTCACTGAGGCAAGTCCAGTGTGATCACAGAGCTCCCAGGCTTTTCAGACAAGCCTTGGCACAGCTCCACATTTTCGTGTGAGAATCCTTTACCTTTTTGTTCTAAGAAATAATGTTGAAATGTTTAAGGGGCCTTAACTCTTCTTGGTCTTCTAACACTACCAGCCAACAAACACATCTAGTATCTGTATTGCTTAGTGTACATCTCTGTCTTAAACATTGTGTCAGCAACATATTACTAGAGACAAAAGAAGAAACCACACAGAACTCATTTGTGGTTTGGTGTCAATGTTCTTTCTAATTATTGTCTAATTTATTGACTTCATACTGCAGGTGTAGTTCTTGGTATATTATTCTGAAATACTTGTTTTCTTCTTTTCTTTTTTCCCTTTCAGTGAAATTAAGTTGTGCTTTTACAGCTTATTTCATCGCTTTGATAAACCTTGATACTACTATAATTATTCAGAATTGTATTAGATTTCTACATAATGGAACTAACTGTGTTGTCACTATTGAGCAGTTATTTCTGTTTAGCACTTTGGTATCTTTAAATTCCCTAGGCCTCGTTTTCTTAGTTTTTCTTCCACAAGTTGAATTCAGGTATAGACTCAACTCATATGGCACTCAACAAAGCTCTTTCTAAAGTCTCTTTAATTAATTAACTTATTCCAAATGCATTTAGAAGATTTTTATTCACAGAAATGTATGGTCAAATATCAACTCCTTAAAACTGATTTATCAGGGAAAATTAATTTCTGAAGTGAGCAAAAGTTGTGCAACTCTGTTTTCAAGCCATTGCCAGTCACCTCTAAAAGAAGCTTGAATTACATGAAATTACAATGAGATAAGTTAATCTAAATCTAATGTTAAAGACAATACAGAGGAGCAATCACCAATTTTGTTAGAGAAAGAACTGTTCTTCATTGTAGTTTTCTTCCTTTAGAACTCCATTTCTTTCTTCTTTACTTCATGAAAATTGTTTTTTCTTGGGTTTTTTGGCAACTCATGAAAGAGCTCAGTGCTTCTCAGCATTGCTGAAAAATTCAAATCAGTTTAATGCATCTCCATCTTTTCTAATGATAACATTAAATTAGAGAATTTTCAGTTTAGTATCTGACTTGATGAGAGTTGGTTTCCATGCAAGAAAGCAGAAGATGTCTATAATTGTTCCACTTCAAGTAAATTAAATTTTCCAGCCAACTGCATGCAAGCATCTACTCATTTTTCAGCAATGTTTTGTGCAGCTAGAGTCAGTGTGAAAATTAGAAGACAAAGTTAATGCCATCCTTGTCTGATACCTGCATGTTAGTAGCTCTGGTTCTACAGTGATGCCCACTCAGAGAAACTCAATAAGGAATTAGATGAGTTTTCACAGAAAGTAGACATGCTGCCATACATTGCAGTTCTCTATGGAAGTATTAATTGGCTTATATTTTGACATGTGTTAATATACTGTCAAATGGACTAGTGAATGCATTGGTAATTGTGTTACTGTGGCTGGAGTAGTCAGCAGATATTCAGAGCCAGTAAAAGTTAATGTACTGAAAAGTAAATGTTATGTCATGATGTTACTTGCCATAGGAGGTACTAAACTATAGAAAATATATCAGAAATAGTTTGTAGATCCCAAAGGATGCCCAAGGCCTGGCTCCCATCCACATCTCTCAGTTAATGGTATATTTAGGTTAGAATCCTTAATTCTGTCTGAACTGGTTGTTGTTGGTTGTACTTGTTCAATCAGATATATATACAGAAGCTCCACCAAGCTTTGTTCTGTTCTGAATACAGAAATGAAGGTCCTGGGTCAAGTTTTAGGAGTACCTAAATATTCATATATATATATATGTGTGTGTGTCTGTCTCTCTGTGTGTGTATATATATATATATGTTAAATTAAGCTAGTGCCTAATTATTTAGCTGGAATTTAGAACAGTTTCTAAAGCTCCAAAACTAAAAAAAAATAATTCTGTGCAGGTGTGTGTGGAAAGCTCCCGTTGCATATGGCTATTGCAGGAAGTTGAAGCTGTGGTTGCTTAAAAAGTGCAAGTGTCTAAACAAGGTGTTGGTGAGCAGATCCAAAGCTGGCTTTTGCCCAGCTGTCAGGTATTGGCCATTTGGCTGTAGTGAGGTGTGTAAAACAGAACAGGTTAAACACTCATCTCAGGCAGGAGTGCAGTCCAGAGAACACACCTGAATTCCTCCTTGTGTGCATGGCTTGCAGCATCTGCAGAGTGAGCCTCCTAAGACTTTTGTTAACTGCTCAACAGAACCCTGCAGACTTTTCTTGGGCCCTTCAAAAGTTTTTATTGCAAAGCTTTGTCTGAGGTAATGTCAAAGTCCCACCCATATTCCATGATAGAATCTGGGTCTGTGTTTAATGGGTCTGAAAATGCTTGCTAGAAAAATGGTTTTAAAGTCACCCTGCAACTTTTCTTAGATAAAGCAAGCCCGAATTAAAAACTGTTAAGTGTAATGCAAGGAAACTGCACATATCTGTCATTGACCAATAGACTGACTACCAGTACAACCACATACCAGTTCTATGATACTGCATGTGTTTAATTACTATGATATGTACAAATGGTGGAAGGAAGTGAAGAATCAGCTCCTTGACATTAGACGTTATCACCCAGTCACACTTCAGAGAATTACTTCTTTTCCCATTCCTTCCAGCCTAATAGAATAACACAGCTTAGCATTCTGAAAATAATAATAATAATTGATTAATTACATAAATGTAATGGGAAGTGAATTTTGGATTGCTTAGGCTAAAGATCTCATACTGCACAAGTATAAACACCTCTCAGGTACCTCCTGCTATCGTAGGCCTGGGCTCTTAAAGAGGAGGAGAGCTGCATTGTTGGTGCAATCCAAGTACTTTTCCTCATTGCAACTTTTACTCATCTATTTCATAT